TTAACTCTGGCGTTCACACTATAATTCTAAATAATATGATTGCACTTCTATGTATTGATTTATCAACTTAAAACCATATTGTCTCCATTGAAGAGAGATATTTAGTTCAGCCTCACTATCCCTTCTTCCCTTGTTTATTTGTCAGTTTTGTTTGATATTATTCAGTAAAGTCCTGCAGTCAGCGGATAAATATTTATTGAGAACTTACACATGGTAAGCTCTTTCCTGGGTGCTGGTTGTTCTAATGACTTCATTATTTTTTTAACTTTTTTTTTTTAGATGGAATTTTGCTCTTGTCACCCAGGCTGGAGTGCAATGGTGCGATCTCAGCTTACCGAAACCTCCACCTCCCTGGTTCAAGTGATTCTCCTGCCTCAGCCTCCTGAGTAGCTGGCATTATAGGCATGAGCCACCACACCTGGCCCATTTCATATTTTTTAGTAGAGATGGGGTTTCTCCATGTTGGTCAGGCTGGCCTCGAACTCCGGACCTCAGGTAATGTGCCCACCTCAGCCTCCCAAAGTGCTGTGATTACAAGCGTGTGTCACCACATCTGGTCTATTTTTAACTTTTTAATTGCCTGTATGACTTTAAATAATATTTAAAGTATATTATTTAAGTATATTTAAATAATATACTTAATCCTCTTTTTTTCTATCCTCATTTATATAAATTCAGGATTTCTTTATTTCATGCTTTTGTAAGTAGTAGCAATTATGACTGGCTTAAAAGGTGTTGTAAAAAGAAAGATTATGGGATGGATACTGGGGTATATTAACAGAATCTCCAAGGAAGGGCTGAACCAGGGCTTGGCAGGACCAGCAACCAGGGCAGCTGCAGAAACCAAGCAGCAGGAATGTGCTAACTTCCTCCTAAGAGGCAGCTTTTACATCTCTCATGTCAAAACCCTATGCTCCACTTTGGCCAGGGGTATAAGGCCATGTGGTATAGACATGCCAGCTGCTGAGACAATTGCACAAAAGGCAGATTAATTTTTTATTTGTTTTTTAGAGACAATGTCTGGCTTTGTTTCCCAGGCTGTAGGGCAGCTGCACAATCATCGCTCACTGCAACCTCAAACTACTGGGCTCAAGTGATCCTCCCAATTCAGCCTCCTGAGTAGCTGAGACTGCCAGCATGCACGGTCAGCTAATTTTTATTTTTTTATTTTTGTTTTTTTATTTATTTCTATTTTTTGAGAACTGGGTCTTGCTGTTACCCAGGCTGGTCTCGAACTCTTGGGCTCAAGAGAGCCTCCTGCCTCAGCTTCCCAATGTGCTGAGGTTACAGGTGTGAGCCACCACACCCGGCCAAACTACTGAACCATCCATCATCTCCAGAACTGTGCCTATGACACAAATGTTAATTGGTCTTTCATCAGAAGCTTGTCGAGTGAGAATGGGTTCAGGATCTGTTTGGAGAAAAAGTAGGTGACACTTCTCCCATCACATCCATGACAAAGCGTCGCTCTCTGGAAATCAGACTGCCCATACCTCCAGGGCTCGACTCTGTCTGCCTCAGACAACACGGAAGTTTATTTGCACTCAATCATCTGGGTCAATCCTCTCCATTTTTTTGATGGGGTCTTTGCTTTGGTAGACCAAAGCTACAATCTCTGCAGAGGGAACTGCTAGAAAGCCTACCTCCAGGCTGGACGTGATGGCTCACGCCTGTAATCCCAACTGTTTGGGAGGCTGAGGCAGGTGGATCACAAGGACAGGAGTTCGAGACCAGCCTGGCCAAAATGGTGAAACATTGTCTTTACTAAAAATACAAAAATTAGCCAGGCGTAGTGGCGGACGCCTGTAACCCCAGCTACTCAGGAGACTGAGGCAGGAGAATCACTTGAACCTGGGAGGCAGAGGTTGCAGTGAACCGAGATTGCACCACTGAACTCCAGCCTGGCCACAGAGCAAGACTCCGTCTCAAAAAAAAAAAAAAAAAGGGGCCGGGCGCGGTGGCTCAAGCCTGTAATCCCAGCACTTTGGGAGGCCGAGGCGGGTGGATCACGAGGTCAACAGATCGAGACCATCTTGGTCAACATGGTGAAACCCCGTCTCTACTAAAATTACAAAAAATTAGCTGGGCACGGTGGTGCGTGCCTGTAATCCCAGCTACTCAGGAGGCTGAGGCAGGAGAATTGCCTGAACCCAGGAGGCGGAGGTTGCGGTGAGCCGAGATCGCGCCATTGCACTCCAGCCTGGGTAACAAGAGCGAAACTCCGTCTCAAAAAAAAAAAAAAAAAAAAAGGAAGAAAGAAAGTCCAACACCTGCCTCCTGAGTTCTTTTCCTGCCGGTGCACAAAAGCCCAGGTCTGCCCCCTGGTGGAAGCTACCAGACAACCTCAAAGAGGAAATTACTGCACTGCACAGAAGGGGAAATGACAATTTCAGAGAGATACATGTCAAGTGCTCATCACAGAGCCTGGCACAGGCTAAGCGCTGTATAGGTGTTTGTCCAAAAAAAATTAAAATAGATCCTGTTTGATTAAATACATTGGCCTCAGGGTCATACCTACCCGAGTTCAAATTCCAGCTCTGCTGCACACTAGTTTTGAAGTTTTGACATGTGTTTGGGTTTCCTAGGGCTGCCTTAACAAAGTAACATAAACTGGGTGGCTTTTAAAAAATGAGCTAGGCATGGCGCAGTGGTTCACATCTGTAATTCCAGCACTTTGGGAAGCCAACGCAGGCTGATCCCTTGAGGTGAGGAGTTCGAGACTAGCCTGGCCAACGTGGGGAAATTCAGTCTCTACTAAAAATACAAAAATTAGCTGGGCATGGTAGCAGGCACCTGTAATCCCAGCTACTCGGGAGGCTGAGACAAGAGAATCGCTTGAGCCAGGGAGGCAGAGGTTGCAGTGAGCCAAGATTGCATCACTGTACTCCAGCCTGGGCGACAGAGACTCCATTTCAAAAAAAAAAAAAAAAGAGCTGGGTATGGTGGTTCACACCTGTAATCCCAGTGCTTTGGGAAGTGGAGAGGCAGGAGGATTACTTGGGCCCAGGAGTTCAAGATCAGCCTGGGCAACATACCAAAAAATAAATAAATAAAAAAGTATTGTTTCACTTTTGGACATGAGAAATCTGAAATCAAGGTGTCAGCCAGGCCATGCCTTCTCTGAAACCTGCAGGGGACTCCTTTGCTTCTTCCCAGTTTCCCTCTCCTTGGCTGCAGCTGCATCACTCTAATCTTCCATCTTCACATGTCCTTCTCTCTTTGTCTCTTATGGCATCTTCCTCCTATGCCTGTCTCTTTTTGGGTCCTCACTTCCCCCTTTTAGAAGCACACCAGTCATACTGGATTATGGCCCACCCTACTCCTGTGCAACCTCATCTTAATTAATTACCTCGATGACTCTATTTCCAAATAAGCTCACATTCTGGGGTGCTGGGGGATAGGACATCAACATACCTTTTTGGGGGCATGCAATGCAACTCAACAGCATAGTCCTTCACCTCCTAAGCCTTTGTTTAGTCAAGTGTAAAATGAAAATAATTATAGCCAGCTCATAGGATTGAAGTATTCTGACACAGAAAGCCATTTGAGGCCAGGCACGGTGGCTCACACCTGTAATCCCAGCACTTTGGGAGGTCGAGGCAGGTGGATCACTTGAGGTAGGGAGTTTGAGACCAGCCTGGCCAACATAGTGAAACCCCATCTCGACTAAAAATACAAAAATTAGCCAGTTGTGGTGGCACACGCCTGTAGTCCCAGTTACCCAAGAGGCTGAGGCAGGAGAATCATCTGAACCCAGGAAACGGAGGTTGCAGCAAATGGAGATCCTCCACTGCACTCCAGCCTTAGCAACAGAGCAAGACTCCATCAAAGAAAGGAAGGAAGGAAGGAAGGAAGGGAGGGAGGGAGGGAGGAAGGGAGGGAGGGAGGGAGGGAGGGAAAAGAAAGAAAAAGAAAATCTTGCTCTGCAAAAGACCTTGTAAAGAGTATGAAAAAGACAAAGTACAGACTGGGAGAAAATATTTGCAAACCCTCTATCTAACAAAGGACTAGTATCTAGGATATATAAAGAACACTCAAAACAGGTCAGGAGCAGTGGCTCACTCCTATAATCCCAGCACTTTGGGAGGCTGAGGCGGGCAGATCACTTGAGCCCAGGAATTTGAGACCAGCCTGGCTAACATGGCGAAACCCTGTATCCTCTAAAAATACAAAACTTAGCTGGGTGTGGTCATGCATGCCTGTAATCCCAGCTTCTCAGGAGGCTGAGGCAGGAGAATCACTTGAACCTGGGAGGCAAAGTTTGCAGTGAGCTGAGATTCTGCCACTGCACTCCAGCCTGGACAACAGAGCGAGACTCCATCTCAAAATAAATAAATAAATAAATAAAAATAGAAAATGGTACAGGCTGGGCACGGTGGCTGACGCCTGTAATCCCAGCACTTTGGGAGGCTGAGGCGGGCAGATCACAATGTCAGGAGTTCAAGACCAGCCTGGCCAACATGGCGAAACCTCATCTCTACTCAAAATACAAAAATTAGCTGGGCATAGTGGTGGGTGCCTGTAGTACCACCTACTCAGGGGACTGAGACAGAAGAATGGCTTGAACCCGGGAGGCAGAGGTTGCAGTGAGCCAAGATCGTGCCCCTGCACTCCAGCCTGGGCGACAGAGCAAGGCTCTGTCTCAAAAAGAAAAAAACAATGGTTCAGCCATGTTTTGGCTGTTTCTTAAAAAAACTAAACATGCTGCTGGGCACAGTGGCTCACGCCTGTAATCCCAGCACTTTGGGAGGCTGAGGCAGGTGGATCACCTGAAGTCAGGAGTTCAAGACCAGCCTGGTCAACATGGTGAAACGCCATCTCTACTGAAAATACAAAAATTAGGTGGGCATGATGGTATGCACCTGTAATCCAGATACTTGGGAGGCTGAGGCAGGAGAACTGCTTGAACCTGGGCGGCAGAGGTTACAGTGAGCTGGGATCATGCCACCGCACTCCAGCCTGGGCAACAGAGCGAGACTCGGTCTCAAAAAAAAAAAAAAAAAAAAAAAAAACACTGAGCATGCCTCCCTGATTTATACAGGCCCCTGCTGTGGAGGTGATGGCCAGTCCAGGTGTCTCGTTGATTCCCAGGGCCCAGCAAAGGAACAAAGTCTCCAGAGCTCTGAAGACAAGGGGTAACACACCAAAGCATGAACTCAGTTTCCACTCCACCTTCATTGGCCGAGCACCTGCAAAGAACAAAGGCCACATCTCCCCTGGCAAACAAGTGCAATATTCCCTCATGAATCGATTGCTTCTCTGAGGTGTATTTGGGGAGAAGCTTTGAGAACAAGTTGAAGAGCATCTGCCCTATGAGACTGGAGAGAAAGAATTCCACAAAAGAATCTGGATGTCATGGAGGAAGCAATGGTTCAGGCAGAGGAAGCAGCTGCTGAGATTACCAGGGAGCTGGAGAAACAGAAGAAATGCTTAAGGAAGGAAAAAAGGCAAGGCACAGTGGCTCACGCCTGTAATCTCAGCACTTTGGGAGGTCAAGGTGGGCGGATCACGAGGTCAGGAGTTCCAGACCAGCCTGGCCTGGAACTTCAACACATGAAACCCCATCTCTACTAAAATACAAAAAATTAGCCAGGAGTTATGGCACGTGCCTGTAATCCCAGCTACTCAGGAGGCTGAGGTGGGAAAATTGCTTGAACCCAGAAGGCAGAGGTTGCAGTGAGCCAAGATTGTGCCACTGCACTCCAGCCTGGGCGACAGAGCAAGATGCAAGACTCCGTCTCAAAAAAAAAAGAAAAGGAAAAGAAGAAGAGTGGTGTAAGGAGAATGAAAACCCCAAAAATAAAAAAAGCAAAAGCCCCAGGAGGTTCCTCAGGAGAAAGGAATGGAAGACCCATCTCTCTCTTTCTCCAAACCCAAGAAAAAGAAATCTTTTTCCAAGGAGGAAATGATGAATAGTGATCTTGAAGAGACCTCCCATTCCCCAGTAAAAACAAATTCGCGCACATGCACACACACACAAAATCTGAACGTGCAACTACTGTATGACCCAGCAATTGCATTCTTGAGTATTCATCCCAGAGAAATAAAAATTTATATTCACACAAAAACCTCTACACTAATGTTTATAGCAGCTTTACTCTTAATAGGCAAACGTTGGAAACAACTTGTGATATTGTAAAACTATATTTGGTCTTGGACCCCATTTCCTGGCATACAACTCCTAAAATCCTTAGAATCCTTAAAGTACAGTGGCACCATCTCGGCTCACTGCAGCCTCCACCTCCTAGAATCAAACTATTCTCATGCCTCAGCCTCCCAAGTAACTGAGATTACAGGCTCCCACCACCATGCCCAGCTAATTTTTGTATTTTCAGTAGAGATGGGGTTTTGCCATGTTTGCCAGGCTGGTCTCCAACTCCTGGCCTCAAGTGATCTGCCTACCTCAGCCTCCCAAAGTACTGGGATTACAGGCATGAACCACTGCGCCCGACCTGTGTCTTTGGTTTTAAAATACTCCAGTGAAAGAGCAGGTTTGGGTTGGCCCACAACTCACTATGGAATAATCACAAATAGTTATACGGGAGGCAGACACACGGGAGGTGATTCCCCAGGGAACAACCGGCCTGGTGGACTAGATAAAAGCCACTGTAGGCCGGTGACTGTAAGGTCTGTTCTCCCTGAGTAGGAGGACTTTGTCACCTCCTGTAAATACCTAGTAGAGCATATCAGAAGCAGCAGCTGATGTGTTTCATATGCAAGTCATGTGGGCCTGGCTTTATGAGGATCGGGATACTCACCTGCTGAATGTGCTCACTGCCAAGGTCATAGTAAATGCTGTGGTTAAGGGGATCGGGATACTCACCAACTGAATGTGCTCACTGCCAAGGTCATAGTAAATGCTGTGGTTAAGGGGATCAGGATACTCACCAGCTGACTGTGCTCACTGCCGAGGTCATAGTAAATGCTGTGGTTAAGGGCACCCCTGTAATGCGGATGCCCATATAACCTTGCTGCTACAAAATCAAAAGGTAGTTCAAGACGCCTTATCAAGTTTTCTGGGCCAGGCACGGTGGCTCACACCTAAAATCCCAGCACTTTGGGAGGCAAAGACAGGTGGATCACAAGGTCAGGAGTTCAAGACCAGCTTGGCCAATATGGTGAAACGCTGTCTCTACTAAAACTATGAAAACTAGCCAGGCGTGGTGGTGGGTGTGTAGTCCCAGCTACTCTGAAGGCTGAGGCAGGAGAATCGCTTTAACCCAGGAGGCAGAGGTTGCAATGAGCCGAGATCGCGCCACTGCACTCCAGCCTGGGCGACAGAGCAAGATTCCATCAAAAAAAAGAGAAAGAGAGAGAGAGATGCCTTATAGGCCACAGCCCTGCGGAAATGTGAGAGTGCATTAAAGTAAGACATGAGCTGCCCATCAGAAGAACCTCCTTCCGGGTTTGGAAGGTGATTGGAATTGACAAGCAGATATCCCCATGTGCTCCCTGCGGAGGCTTCCTAGGTCTATGAGACAGGGGCACTGCAGCAGTGCAGAGATGGGCTGAATCTAGACATGTTCCTCTTGTACCCTCTGAGGTTCAAAACGTGTTTGTCAGCAAGAGAGACAGAGATGGCTGAGGGCTATGGAAAAGGTTCCTTGGTGGGAAGACTCTGAACGTAACTGGCAAGTGAGACCGATGCTGGTAGCCCTGGGGGACCACAAATGGGTCTTGACAATAATAGACACTGACTCTGCACTGGCTTTGCATACCCAGTGGAAGATGCAACTATTCATAATGCCATTAAAAAACGGGACCAAAAGTAGTACATGATTTAGGCAGCCAACTGTCATTTCTTCAGATGAAGGAGCACACTGTACAGGCTAAAATGTCCCACAATGGGCAGAGACATTCTCCTAGACAAGTGGAACTGGCTATTAAAATGCATGACAGCTGGACATGGTGGCTCACACCTATAATCCCAGCAATTTGGGAAGCCAAGGCAGAATTGCTTAAAGCCAGGAGTTCAAGAAAAACCTGGCAAACATAGTGAGACCTCGTCTCTATAAGAATAAGAAAAAAAAAATTAGCCGGGTGTGGTGGCACTTGCCTGTAGTCTCAGCTACTTGGCAGGCTGAGGCAGGAGGATTGCTTGAGCCCAAGAGCTGGAATCTACAGTGAGCTATGATCACGCTGCTACACTCCAGCCTGGGCAACAGAGCAAGACCCTGTCTCCAAAAATTAAATTTAAAAATAAAACTTATTGGTTGTCTAAAATGGGGTGAGGCTGGTCATGCTGGCTTATACCTGCAATCCCAGGACTTTGGGAGGCCATGGCAGTTGGATCACTTGAGAACACGAGTTGAAGACCAGCCTGGGAAATATACCAAGACCCATGTCTATACAAAAAGAAAAAAAATTAGCCAAGTGTGGTAGCAGACACCTTAGTCCTAGCTACTCAGGAGGCTGAGGCAGGAGGATCACTGGAGCCCAGGATTTCAAGGCTACAGTGAGTTATAGGCATGCCCCCCATCACACCTGGCCTACTTCTGTATTTTCTTTGTAGAAACAAGGTTTCGCCATGTTGCGCAGGCCGGTCTCAAACTCCTGGGCTCAGGCAATCTGGTTACCTTGGCCTCCCAAAGTGCTGGGATTACAGGTGTAAGCCACGGCACTCAGCTTCAAAGAGAGAAAGGACAGGTTGGGTCTTATGCCACACAAGGTCTGTATTACACAATAGTCACGCATATTCAGCAGGTTAGGGAGAAAGCTATACATATTTATGAGGGGAGCCAAGCACAAGAGCAATGGGTAAACGTGTATATAACACATCTCATGTTCACTTCAGGCCAGGTTTTAGCATTAAAATGAGGTCGAATTTGGCTCTTTATGTCAAAAGGTGACCTACAGGACACAAAGACAGCTTATGCGCAGCCTCTATAAGCTGCTGAAACTGGCTTAAGGTCTGCAGTTCCTTGTAGGCAAAGAATGTTTATAAGGCCAGTCCCTGTCCAGAGTTGTAGTGGTCTGGGTTGTAAATTTGCCTGATACAGCTCCAATGGTTAGGGAGTTTAGCAAGTCTGTGGTTTTTCTTTTTTTCTTTTCTTTTTGAGGCAGGGTCTCGCTCTGTCACCTAGGCTGGAGTGTAGTGGTGCAATCATAGCTCACTGCATCCTTGGGCTCCCAGGCTCAAGCAATCCTCCCACAGTCTCCTGAGTAATTTCAGGTGTGCACCACCACACTCAACTAATTTTTGCATTTTTTGTAGAAATGAGATTTTGCCATGTTGTCAAGGCTGGTCTCAAACTCCTGGACTCAAGCAATCTGCCCTCCTCAGTATCCCAAAGTGCTGGGATTACAGGCATGAGCCTCGGCACCCAGCTGGTTTTTCTTATAGCCATAGGAATTTAGAAATTTTCCATGCCAGTCAGGACCTGAACCCTCGACCTGTAAGTAGGTAACTTTTGTTTCCTTAACCTTACGGCCTGTCTTAGTTGATAAAGGGGTGTCTATTTTGAGACACTACACATAGGTCTCTCGGATCACACTATGCTTGGTACTTTACATTATTAATTAATCTTTTTTTTTTCTTGAGACAGGGTCTGGCTCTGTCACTCAGGCTGGAATGCAGTGGTGTGATCTCTGTTTCCTGCAACCTCCACCTCTTGGGCTCAAGCCATCCTCCCACCACCTCAGCCTCCCAAGTAGCTGGGGCTATAGGCATGCACCATCATGCCTGGCTAATTTTTTTTGCAGAGATAGGGTTTCGCCATGTTGCCCAGGCTGGTCTTAAACCCCTGAGCTCAAGTGATCCACTTGCCTTGTCCTCCCAAAGTGCTAGAATTACAGGTGTGAGCTACCGCACCCGGCCCTACTAACCTTCTTAAACCCTACAAGGTTAATACTAGCATGATCCTGTTTTAAAGACAATGAAACCAAGGTTAGTAATTTACCTAAGGTTACATAACTATTAAGTAAATGGTGGAGGTAGAATTTGAACCAAGACATTCTAAGATCCTTGATTTTAGCCACTGTGCTGCAGTAAAGGCTGGGCCACTCATAAGGCCTCCTCTTAAAGATGCACTCCAGTTCCCAGCCATTCTCAGGGTTCTCCCTCTATTCAGTCCCTCCTTCTTTGGG